TAGTTTCATTTCCTATGTGTAACAATCGCGAAAACCTAAGAACTCTACATGGATTTATAGTTACGATCCCAATACAAAGCAGCAAGCGAGCGTATGGGTCTTTCGAGATGAGCCGAAACATCAATCATCAAGTGGCGCGCGTGCAAAGTGCCTCTAAGCGGATGATTGCTTCTTTTTTTGATAAAGCGTGGCTACTGTTGCTTTGGAGAATCGTTGTAGCGTGAATAGTGATTGTTACGCGACCATTTGTTTGCCGGAAATTATTGACAAACTCCGTAAAAATAACCGTAAATGCCGTATCATTTTACACCACGATAATGCCAGGTCTCACACGGCCAGACAGATGAGCACACATATGAATTTTTGAAGGTGAACAACGTTGACCTTATGAGCCATCCCGCGTACAGTCCCGACCTGGCACCTTGTGACTTTTATTTATTTCCAAAACTTAAGAACCAGTTACGCGGTCAACCATTTTTATCACCTGAACAGGCTGTCGAAGAGTACGAATAATATGTTTCAGAGAATGTCACAGAGGAGTGGCATAAATATTTTCAAAATTGGTTCATTCCTATGAAAAAGTGCATTAACGCTAACGGAGAATATTTTGAGAAACAATAAATTCATTTCTGACCGTTTATAGTATTTTTTTCTTATTCATTCCGGTAACTAATAGTGCGCCTCACGTATATGCATGTGACGTACATGTATTTTATTTACAATTATATTGTTAATTCTAATTAAAGTGTGTGTGCATTAATTATACGAAGATTTCATTCGTTTTACTTGTTTATCTAATTTTTTTTTCACTTATTTTTCTCGTATATTTTCTTTTAACAGAGATTTATTTGATTTTATTTATTTTTATTTTTAGTTTTTATTCTTAGAACTTTTTAATTGACCAATACGTTCTTTGTCAATAATTATTTTAGTGGATAACTGTAATTGGCCTAATTTATGAATAGACGTGTCGCTTTCCACCAGGCGCACGACTCGTTCATCCCGGCACGTGGTATCAAAAAAAATCCAAAAAATTTTAAAGTATGTTAAGGTTAATATTGTATTATGGCTGCTTTTATCACAAATAAAAAAAATTAAATCCAGTTGTTCTGTTACATAACTCTCATTCAATTTTTGGAAAATATAAAGAGGGCGCTGACATACGTAAAAGCTGTTTTTTTAGCGATCTGTCACAGTTTGACCTTAGTTACAGTTGGTTAGAACGTACATACAATGATTTGTATTGTATTATTAACATCACAAATAACTACTTTTGTTCTATGACTTTTAATAGTTCGTAATTCGGTGATAACTTTGTGAAAACGCGGAAGTCGTCGGAGTAAAATAAGAGGCAATTGCGCAAGTGTTGCCCGCTTGGGAGCAGCTAGTGATTGCAATTGATAAATATTATATCGACTAAATATTGGTCACGCTTATGGAATAAACAGCCGAACTTGTTTCATTTGAATCATCATCGACCCATTATTCCTCCGATTACTGACCACAATTTCTTTTGAATTGTCAATTTTTGTAAGTTCGTACATATATACATTGTATTTAGAACTATGTTTATGAAAAATAAAGAAGAGACAAATAATTTCAAAGTTTTTCATTTTACTTCTGTATAAATAATGATATCCGACTGCCCATTCTTGTTAAAATGTATATGAATAAAAATTTATTTCGATATTAGTAGGCCAACTGTCAAAATATGTTTAAAAGGAGGCAATAACGAAATTAGTAATCATTAGAACGTCGTAACATTCACAATTCAGTCGTTTTAGGCAAAATTGTATCTTCTTTCGCAGTCTATCGATAAAACTATCGACAACAACTACATAACTATTAAAATTGTATGAAAACTGGCAACCCTACAAATGTCATTTTACTCCGTCTTCAAAAAAGGCTGACTATACAACCGTACTACTAAATACAGACCTAAAAAGTGGCAGAGAGTGCAAAAAAACTTAAAAGTGTATTTTTGATATATTTATCATGTTTTGTTAAAAGTCACGTAACAAAAGTTGTTGTTCATTATTTTAAGAATATAGTCCTGCAAGGTTGTTAGTATTTAAAAAATAACCCGTTATATTGCGACTGCATTGCAATTTCAAATGTCTGAGATCAGTTTGGATGCTATCAGCTACTGCACTGGCAGTTGGAAGTTTAAATTAATGGGAGGGTTTCATACTTCTAATTTGCAGCCGGAATGTAGCTCGTTCGACTTCGTAATAAGGAAATATTCTCTATATCGTAAATGCTTTGGGCATAAAATCTTTAGTGTCGTATGCCTATGATCTTTGCCTTTTAATTTAGAGAGTGCTCCTTCGAGGTACAAACATAAAAGGCGGTGTTATATACTCAGGCGGGTCCAGTAAATCGTCATTGGAAGTGTATTATCACTAATTGTAGGTTTCTTACTGCGATATGACTTACTCGTGTTATTATTTTCCTGATATTTCGAAACGGTTATAAGCTCTATAGTCACGGGTTGACAACCCCGTGACGGTTCACAGGTGTAGGGACATATTTGCCCTCTTTCGAAAATCGATTTATTGCGGCGTTACCGTTGCCACTCTTTTTTTCCAACAAATCACATTTAGTGTATATGTGAAACAGAAACCATTTTTGTTTTTGTAATATTAATTTAATGGAATATCACGATTTTGTACTACCACGTTATTCAATTATTTTTAATCGAGCTCAAAAAAGGAGGAGATTTTGAATTCGACTGTTTTTTGCGTGTTTACGCGATTACTTCGGCATTTGTGAATCGATTTTGATGATTCTTTTCTGTTGGAAAGAGGGAATCTAAGTATTGGTCCCATTTAAATTTGAAGAAAATATTCCATCTGTAAGGGTGGGTAACTTGGGGATGAATCCGATTTCGCACACTTTCCGGTAACCGATTTCAATATAACTTGGCAAATAGATGTAATGCCATGAACTTTTGAAGTTATAATTATTGTGAAATTACTTCACTAGTCTATTAAAATTATTAATACAAAGAGAACATAAAGAAAAATTCCTTCGCTCCGACTGAATTCGAACCAGCGGCCTCGCCATACTGGGGCTAACGCTCTCCCATCTGAGTTACGGAACGAGTCGTCAGACCTTACATATTTCTCTATGTGCTTGTTGCAGATCTTTATTTATGGTTTTAACGACTTTTTTTCCGTAGCACCATCTGTTAGAAATCTATGAAATTTTTCATCCATTTCTCAATATTTTTTGTTTATAAGACCCGGATTCTACGCACTGTTATAGTTGAAATAAAGACGTCTTCACGATTAAGTATGAGTCACTTCGTGATCTCACTCATACTAAACTTCATACCTTAGTAATAATTAATTAGTAAATAACCACCAAAGCCTTAAAATCTATATTTACTCGAGTTACTTTTGAATGCTTTCTAGCAATTTATGCCTTACAGTCAGTCAGACAATTATAACCAATAAAACTTAATGGAATAATAAACAATAACAAATATGAATTATGTGAATGCGTAAGACCACCTGAGATGTAAATATGTCATTATGCAGCCATGAAAATTGTTGACTATTAAATTTTCCCAGACGAATGTGCTATTACGGTTTTATAACTAAACATTTCTGGAGTCTATTCGAATCATGCGCAGTTTAGTATACTAATTAATGCTTGGCATAACGGTGTAGGAAATGAAATGAGACCTGCATGTCTGAGATAGTTCATCATACTCCTCGGTCCATCAAACCACTATTTACTAAACCTATGCGTTAACCTCCCGAGACCCGGTGTGATTGAAAATGTACTTAATACTTGAGGTGATGCAAACCCAGTCAATACTATTCCCATGATTACGTAAACAATCCAAATTGATATTATTAAAACTATAGCCTAAAAGCTTATTTCATAAATTTGGCACTATATATTCTATATGACCTAGAGTACCTAGAAAAATACGTTTTTCGTACTAAAACTGGTGGCATACTTGATTGTACTGAAGCATGTAATTATATATAGTACATATTAAAGTATGTTAGGCGTTTAGCGCTTTGTACTTTACTGAGTCATAGGAGGCTTAGAGGAGCGAATATAGGGTGTAATAAAAAGGTTTCAGCATACTTCAGCCAATGAATGGTGTGTGAATTCAGAAAAAAAATTTAGCCCTTTATAAGGTCCTATTATTTTCTCTACCAATTTTTTTCTTTTTTTGATAAATAACTACTTTGTTGTCATTAGTTCCTGCTCCTTGTAACACAAATGGAAGTAAATTTTGACGGAATAAAGTAACAGTAAAATGAAATTGATATAAACAAGATGTTATTTACAGTAATAATGCAACTTACATCGAATATAAGTGCTCTAAGCTGTGGTAGCCTAATGGTTTAACCTACCGACTCTCAAGCACGTGGTTTCGAATCGGGCTTGCAACTCTGAATTGTCAGAATTTATGAGCGCTTCATTTGAAATTTACCATGAGCAAACACACATATGCAAAGCAATTTAATGTAATTTTTATTCATTTAGTGTAAGTCAGTTGGTGTACATATAGGCTAACTAATATTATTATTATTAAACATATAAGTTACATCATTACTATTATAAGGGATGATAATTATGATCAGCAAGTCTTGGTCGTGCTTTTGTTGATCACCCAATATAAGTAGATAGAGGTAGGTACCGCATCGTTACAATGTCGTCACTCGACATAACTGCAAATGATTAATGATGAAGTCGCAGCCTTCCAGAGTGGAGCTTTCTAAAATCCTTAAGCCGACTTAAATGTCAAGTCATAATGGTAACATTAAAACGAAAAAACATTCTTTATTTTTTATGTCTCTTCGTAGAAAAGAAAAAACACGTAAATGCCAAATGAAGTCTCAGGTTCTTTTGTATGCCATTTGTGTTAATATATTGGATTTAAGGGAACCTTAATTCAAGAATGTATTTTCTACAAGTTTTGCAAGTAATTGTACTACCTTTACACAGTATTAAATATGTGATGAGTATCTATTTCTGCCGCCAATCAGTAATGTCAGCATTACTGGGTTCCAGTTTGAAGGGTAAGGGTGCTGATGAAATTACAAGCACATGGGACTTGTCAACTTATGTCTCAAGGTGACGGGCGCAGTGGCGGTGCGCCTCAGATCTTTGCGATTTAAAGAGCTAAGTGATACTGCAATTGTTATGAATAGGCGGTGTACCTTACCATCAGGCGCACGACTAGTTCGTCCCGTCACTTGATATTATAAAAAAAAAAACAAGAAAAAATAGAAATTTTATCCATTTATCCAGTTAAAGGTACAGTGAAAAGCACGTCAAGCTTGACACTTTGTACTTTGGACCTTCCTTATCGTAAGCGGCATAGAATGGGATTTAAATCTTAAGTGTCAAGCTTGACGTGCTCTTGACCCTGTACAAAATAGCACTGAGGGGCGTGCTCTGTCTAATTATGATTCTCCTTTAGATGACATAAGCCTGACTAATAAATATTATCATCATTTCAGCCGAGAAACGTCCACTACTGAACATAAGGGCCTAAAGATCGCCACAACAACCGGTCTTGCATCTAGCGCGCTACCGCAACCTTCATCAGTTCATCGGTCCACTTTGTGGGTGGTCTGCCACGTTGCGACCCTATCGGCTGTCTGTTCTTTGCGTGAGTATGTAAATAATTAATGACATCAAATAATGTAATATGCGTCTTGATGTACAATTACGAAAAATAGCCTCTTACACCACAGGTAAAACAATTAGGCATAATTTTTACTCTACCAAGAACATCTAAATCAAGATTAACATTTCGCGAAATAGTTTAAACGAACATCGACCCCGGGATCTTTTCAAGTAACACTCATATCGTATTTTGCGCCTCGAATCTCGAGAATGACACTGGTGAAATTGGCATCGGGACAAAATTGCAACGAACCTTTATTTTTTGCGTTTTCGCACTTGATTTCGGTCGGGTCACGTAGATTTTGTTCAAAAGGAGAAATGTACAATACCTGAAACAAATAATTATTATATAATGCACTATCTACGTGAATCATTTATGAAAAAAAACTTACTATAGTAAGCTGGTGTAGTTAAACAAGATAAAATACACACACACACACACACACACACATATATATACATATATGTATATCAAAATGTAAGTACGCATTTGATCTCCATCTCACCTGAAGCTAATTGACGATGAGGTCGACTATGGAGCATCCATACCCAAATAATGCTAGTTCACTCTCGCCTTGAAAAGGCCTAAGTTATAACATTCAAGGATAAGTCTACAGGCAGGGAATTCCACTCCATAGCCGTTCGCCACATAAATGTGGAAGCGTAACGCTTCGTGCGAATCTTTGGAATATCCACAATTTAGGGGTGGCACCCAAGCCTACGCCTAGTCCCTCGGTGATGGAAAGAGGAAATTATTAAATCGTGTAATTCCATCGCAAACTCTCCGTGATATATCCTGTAAAATCGATATTTTATTTTAAGTCGCCTGCTTGTCGGTACAAGAAGGCGACTTTACGGCGGTGTTCAAGGCTCTGTAGCATCGTTTTCACTAACTCCGAGTCACCTATAAATCTGTTGACACGGTTGTCAATTAAATCCAAAGTAACCAGTTGGTATGTAGCAGAATTTTTAGGAGAATAAGAGTTTTATTCAGTACTCTGATCCGAAATCCGATTATTGTCGGCGAAAAAATCAAACTAAGAATACTAACAGAAAACTCAATACCATGGAACGCGCTAATAAAACTTCAATAAAACAGGCACAAAAAAATTTAATAGTGTGAATCAAGTTAAATCCTTTTCCGAATCGGCGAAAGGTCGAAATTACACTAAACCCCTGAAAGTTACGTATAGTTATAGTCACTTTTCCTGCATGGTTTGTTAGGGTTGATACATTTCGAATTGAGAAAATTTTCCTTATTTCATATTGTTACAGACAATAACTGTATAGAAGAGATCTTATGTCATTGAAGATAATCATTTTCTTCAGGGCTCATAAGCTTTGCTTGTCGGCAGTGTCTTTTTGTAGCAACGCACATATAAAATGTACATAACCCTTCGTGTGGCAAATTCCCGCAGTGGGATATGACACGAAAACCTTCTCCTCGCAACGTCATTTTGCACAATTGAGTACGTGTGGCAGGGACCCCGGCAGGGCAATTAGTTCTAAGGTCCATAAAATAACAAAAAAACTGTAATTTTACTCTTTTTTATATGAAACCTATGCACACATGCAATATTTTTCAAATCACCATAGGTGTTAAGCTAACAGATTGCATGGCTAAAAATATATTTTTGTCATAAAAAAAAGGTTACGTTGTAAGTCAAACTTAGTGTTAAAAATTTTCACCCACGTTGGTATAAGCCCCCAGAATTGTTAAAATAACTATTATCCAATCAAATTTGTGTTTTATTTATTTCATACAGGCTGTATATTTGAAAGTGGGACATACTTATAGAGTGCGTTACATTCCTGATTCTGAACCCAAAGAAATAATAAACTAATGAACTTAAAGTTTACAAAAAAATATTTTTTTATTTTTTTTAACAACATTAGTTATCGAAATCTATGCACATCATTATTATTGCTTCGACGCAACGGCGAGTTGCGGCACGGCGACGAAAATCAAAGCACATGTCAGGGGTGGGGGCGCGGGCGCATAGAGATAGTGCACGCGCGACCTTGGTCTAGCGAAGATACGTAAATTATTTGTACTTCCGCTCGCTCCCGCAAAATAGATATTTATTCTAACGTCGAATTGACTGAGATGGTGCGACTTTACGCAATAAGTGGTGATAGTGTGAGACGTTTTACGCGGAGGTGAACAGTGTCGAAGTGTTGTATGAGAGGCTTATCTCAGCTTTTTATACTGTGAGACAAAATGTGTTTGTATTGAACAATTTAAAACAAAATATTCTACGACGTGCTAGACTATGCATTGTGGAAAACGGTGGATTTTTTGAACACTCGCTCCGTACCACGTAAAGTGTAAATAAACTGTAAATATAGATATTTACAGTTTAATAAATTGTAAATATAGATATAGAGATTGATTTCTTAGTAAAAATCAATCATTGTAAATAATTTGATTTCATATTTTTAAATACGCCAAAACCTCAATTATTATTATAAATTAAATGATAATTAGTTACTAAATCATAAAATTATCTTTTTTAGTACGTAAAACATTTCGACGATAGTTCAGAAGCAAAAAATAATTAGCATAAGCTAAAACGTAATCCTTTCGATAACAGCTTTTTTTCATAAAAACATAAATATGCGCAGGTGAGTAACTTAGTTTTTATTTTCTAGAGAAGAGGTGCTTTTAGTAGGAAGGGAGACGTGAAATCATTGTTATTGTTGCTGTTTCACTCGACGCTTGCTTGGTAGTACGCCCATTGCACTTTTCTATGTACACTCCAAAACAAATTTGTTGATTTATTTTTTGTTCTATCCCATATCCTAATTTTATTTTAGGCTATATTAAGTTGTAACATGATTTACTATGACATGTATGAATATGTCTCACGTTCAAATATACAGCCTGTATAAACGGTACCTACTTTTGTAAAATGTCACACGTCGGTCCTGCGTGATGGGTATCATATTTAATGATTATTTCTAAAAATGGTACAACTGAGCAGTTCTAATAAAAAATACTAATCTAACCTTACTTTGTCTTATAGCGGGAATCTTAAACGTTAGCGCTATTGCGAAAAATGGCGGCATCAGTCGAAACGAAAAAGCAAAGTATGAAAAAACACAAATTCGTTGGTACTGCCTGAATTCTTCTCTTATTACATGTAAAATGTATGTATAATTATACATTTTATTATCATACTATTATGCATTAATACTTACTTTACCACAAACGCAATAACAAACTAACGTCAAATAACAGTCCTCATAAACTACCACTAAGCAATGTTCTTTATACGCAATAGCATTTACATTACATTTCATTTTACGTTCCGTCGTAAATGTAAGTGTGTCTATTCAAATATTCCTGAAGGGTGTATTCGTTCCCATAGGAATATAGGCTACACTTAAATTAATTCTGTTTTTATTATACATTTCAATTACTACTAAAATATATTTGGTAATGATAATGTAATTCGTCCACTTAGTTTTTTTATTTTTTATTTGCTATATGAGGCTCGTGCTTGCAGTGGGATGTATATTTTTTAATACACTACATATAGGATTTACTGGATATAACCAAATGAATATAGAAGAATATTAAAATAATCATAAATTTAGTTTTACTTCGTGGCGACACCTGCATAATTTTGATAGCCTACTTCTTGGAAACACTCCAGGAGATTTAGTTATATAACATCTTGTGTTTGTATTGATGGTAATGGGAAGTACGCGTGGCCGCCATTTCGAAAAAAATTCAAACTAAGAAAAAAATCATAACCCTAATTTTATTTGTCAAATGGAAAGCTGAAACTTTCTAGTTTTCCACGTAACAAATAAAATTAGAGTTATGACATTGTTTCCTAAAAATATTCTTTAAATCGCTTTCCTCTGATATTTTTCAAATGCACGTTAGACGTCTTACCTTTCCAGCTTCGATAAATTAAGCTGTGCTCGATATAATAAGTACTGTGTCTTACATAAGTCAGTTGCTTTGACTCAGTTTACATTGCAGCAGAACGGAATAAAAGGGAGTTTTTGTAACCATAGCATAATGACCTTTATGACAAGTGTGTAACGTAGAAACTAGATACGAGCCAAAAGCCAGGTCGCGCGTCTTCTGGAGAATTCTCGCACAGTCTCGGGAATCAGCCGAGTTCACGTATCGTATTTAGTTAGTACGTTACACGATTGGTATAAAGCTCATTATGCTATGTACAATCCCTTACAAGGTAATATAAGTTAAGCCTTAGAATGAATTTGGAGGAACGAAATAAATTTACATTCCAAAATTATTTTCGCACATTTATTCAAGCACAATATAAAGAACATACGGTTTGACAACAATTTTAATACAAATCATGGTGACTTTTTGTTCAAAGCTTTGTTTCGACAACGTCGCGTGCATAAAAGGGTTTTAATCTGGTAAAACAGTTTTGTTGTTACAAGTACTTGCTTAAGTGATCTTAAATCCCAGTGAACATATTTTTTTTATGATACCAAGGGACGGGACGAACAAGTCGTACGCCTGGCGGTAAGCGACACGCCTGTCCATAACAGTTACAGTGCCAATCAGTGCTTTAAATCACAAAGACCTGAGGGGCACCGCCACTACGCCCATCAACCTGAGACATAAATTGGCAAGTCCCATGTGTCTGCAATTGCACATAATTATAATTTTAATAATCATCATGAACCCATTTATACTTCCCACTGCTGTGTACGGGTCTCATCTTAGGCGCGGGTTTTAAGCCATAGTCCGCCACGTTGGTCCAATGCGTGTTGGGGACTTCACACGAGTACGAGGGTTGTGAAGCTTCTTCGAGATGCAGATGGGTGATAGGTTGCAGGACGATAGAACATGCACACCTTATTAATGCCTATGTCTTGTATGATACGCACATTGAGCGCATACAAAAAAGTTCGCCACGAACGAGGAAGCCAGCGAACATTTCAGTATGCATAGTCTTTCTGAGAGGAGACAGCTCCTAGGTATGGCCTACACGATATTGTGAATACTCGCCTAGACAGCCCTTCCCTTGTTTTCCGGTCTCGTCTTGCAGTGCCTTATAGTCGCCGTCGTAACCCAATTAATAAAGTATTCTACGTTCCACCGATCATTTAAATTATGAAATGTTCTATTTACAATATTTATTATTTTTATGTATTTTTTAAAATAATTCTGCGTTTTTTATTACCACTCACTAAATAGATTTTAATATAGGTAATTTGTAATTTGTAAAAAAAACAACACAAATAATATACTTATTTGTGTTGATTGTAATTATCAAATCATAGGCACATTTTGTCACATCATGTCATTTTTTTTAAGCTTCTGTGATATCCTGTAATTGGCATTATATATTGATCATGTAAAATAGATTTTTAAGTTTGAATTGTATGCTGTTGGATGTCCTTCAATAAATGTCACTTTATAAAGTAAAGGAATAAGTCTGCAAGCAAGGAATTCCATTCCATAACCTATTTGAATTATAATGATAATCAAACTACTAAGGTGTTCAGGCAAAACTGTACCTAATAAAACAGAACCACGACACTGTCAATCTCCTGCATTCTATCTAAGTAAAAAAACAACACTATTATGATGAACATTGCTCCGCTGCACATAGAATGTTTTGTTCAAAAATGCCATCGTGAGTTGACTCACGTCGGACCCATAGAGTCCTATGGCAAAGTCGTGACTACAAGTGCAACTTCCTTGGAGACGTGTACTTTAAGTTTATTTGAATACAAATTAAAGACACAAGAGAAAAGTGATGAATGATAATTTTGAAAATTTTGCAGATAGTGCTTTTTTGTCACGAGAAGTATTTTTTATTGAGCAAGTATTTTGCGGAAAAAATATTTTTTTTATGTATTTGTATTGTTCTTTTTGTACCCTTTTAATGACGCTTTGCAATCAAATCGACACCAGTAATTAACACAATTCTAACTTAAAAATTAGAACTTATCACCAGAGCGTATAAAAATGAAATTTGCGATAATTTTCTAAATTAATGTTTTTTTAACAACAAATTATTTCCTTAATTTTGGATTTAATAAATTAGCTGGATAATTTGGTATCTTGGCATAATTTGGCACTGCAAAATCGACAAAATTCCAGTCAGCGTAGTGTTAATAGCTAGTATCGAAATGGTACAGTGGAAATTTGACCTTTACCGCATAAGAAGTATACAACTGTACAAAACAACATAAGGGTTGTTTTGCTAGGATATGATTGAGAAATACCGTACGGTCTGGTCAAATCTGTGTAATCAACAAAACTCGTCACAAGTTTCATAATTTTCAAAAACAGAATGATACTGACCTGAACTCTAATTGTTAATACTGGAAAATAATTTGCTTAAGTTTAGCATTTCATGGCAGCCCATTTTTATTTTAACCAATAAAAAGCTGCCGCGGTGCCTTCTTTACAACAAAATTTAACACATTCTGAAAAGGGAATATGTAGCGTTTTT